CAGGGTTTGTTTTGCAAGTGCAACAGTTTAATGCATTTGTTTTCTGCCATTGACCCCACCAATAAAGGCTGCACCATCTCATTTCATCCTGTCACCCTTTCATCCCGCTAACCTTAAGTGGGCCTTACCATAACGAACTTTATTTAACGTGGAAACACTTGAATACTTAGTTTTTGGTCTACCTCACAAGGTGCACAGGCTAATTTCCAGGCATAACTAGATCTATATTCTCCCTCAAGATAGTCGGCCATTTTAGCTGTTGGTAGCGATATTTCGACCCCGTGCCATGTTTTTAAGTTCAACAGTTCTACGCATATTTGTGCACTGAATCATTTTTGCATAACGTTAAGATATACTAGATATTCAAGTCAGTCAATTACAGAAAGCAGGAAATCATTAAAAATATAAATGCAATGAATCTCACCACATATGGAAGGAAGATGGGTGCCATCAGGACATCCTTCTGCTTTCTTACAGGTTTGCGACCAAGAGATTGACTGTCCATCAAAGCAGAGAAATTCATCCTTCGGGTTTTCTTAAATCAAACCATGCAAATTTAGCGGAGGCCATTCGTTAGACTGGTATAACATTCACATGTCATTGGCATGATATGTACATTTTATTGACAAACGTTTTCATGGAGATATCGTAATGTATATTTTTATAGTCGTTTTGTTTGTCTTTATTTGTCTCTTTTGCATACTTATGTTGAGCAAGCAAATAGGATAACACAATAAACCAATAAACTCTCAAATATGCCGCAGCAACAACCCTATAACACACGAATATACCGGGGAGAACACACCGTCAACAAAACATGAACTGATAAATAAGTCAATATTATAAATATCTGTTTTTGAAACCCCGGTTGTCATCCAACGGCCGAAGTTATCTCTGTCGGACAAAGGTGGTAACCAAATATCAGATGGCCAGTAAGTAATTATGTGGTAAACGCACAAACACAAACATAAATTATTTCCAGCCTATAACCATGGATTGTGGTAGAATATCATTTTTTTTACCCAGTCCTTCCTTTTCATCTTCTCCATCTTGGCAGTTCTTTTCGCCATCTCGTAGTTTCTCTGGGGACAGGCATTCACCTGATGAACACGAAAACTGACTGTTCAGACATCTGCAGCTGCTCTCGTCCGATCCGTCAACACAGTGTGACTGGCCATCACATTTCTGTATACTTTTAACACACTGCAAGTTGTCACACCTAAATTCTTCCTTGCTACAACTATACCCTGTGAAAAAACAGCAACAAGAGAGATTTCTTTTCCTTCTACCAACTTTAAGGCCTTTTGTCATCCTGACTACGATTTGAAAATACTTAAGACTACTTGGGCTCGCTATTAGACGATTTCGTATTGTGGGACGATATGCAAAACGATATAGCGAACCATCTAGAAAATATGATAGCCGTACCTCTTTGAAAAGTTAAATTTGTTTGCAAATTATGCTAAACGTAATTTTGATAACTTAAGACAGAAAATTTTGGAAATTCTGAAATCAAAACGATTGAACACGACCACGAACTCTATCTATGACTTACTTAAACATATAAATGACTGCAGTAAAGCCACGTTGTTCAGTTAGCAATATATATATATGAAACGTCAACCAAGGAACATGGAACCGAAAGTTTGTATAGATCAGAAAGAGTTTGGATCCGATTTGTAGTTTTTCATTTCAGTCCTGTATAAGCGGCTTGATAATAGTAAGTACTATTTGTTCAAATCGGTTGAGTAAACATTTTTACTAACCTGGAATGGCAAACGAAGGAAAAATAACGCATTTATCCGTGAAGATCTTCAAATTCTGAATTACAACCGAGACTACCCTGCTGTTAAATGCTTCGCCTTTCAGTTCAACCTTCGGGAAAACAAGACCGGTATATTTATTAGAAATGCCCGCTGATTATCTATCATAAGACAAAGTAGTATTTACAGTGTATTTCAACAGTAAACAATTCGTTCATCACTGAAGTACCACTATTAACTTGCAGTTTTCTAAACGCTTGTTTCATTTTTTACATTTTTTGTTGTCCATTCTTACATAAATGTGCACAAATACTCCACGAGGGTACGTAGTGTTTTTTCTACTACTCAACGCCAATGACACAAAACAGAAATCCTTTGGAAAATGAAAGAAACATTATATTTTCGTAAATTATCAAGCAGTTGTCAATATATTGTATTGTATTACTATTGTATTATAGTTGGACAGGTAAACAAACGTACTAAAAAGTTCCAAGTTTCACGTATTACCCCCTCTGTAGTAGGAATTTTCTCGGACGAAATGTTAGCGCTATGAATATGAGCTGCGTCTCCAGTAACGCGACTCAATGTGTTTTTAAAGGCAGTAAAACCTACTGAATTGGTTCTGGATAGCGTTGTTTTATAGTTAGTATTAAGACTACAGTTTCTGTCTTATAACTTTATTTACTAGATAAAACAACACTACCATACCATAACATCTTTTCTCGATTCCCATGAAATCTGAGCCTTGGATGATCTGTTTCCATGGTAACCACTTATCTTCCAGAGCAGAACTTTTCCTTCTTTTGTACCGACATGAACTTCAAGAGAGGAAGCTCTTCCTTCTCTCGTTACCTTTGTCGTGTCAGGCAGTATGTACTCGAATTGTAGACAGGTGTGTGTCCTTTTATAGGAGTCTTTCCAAGGTAGCATCGGGCTTTCAAGAGACGCGTTGCTGACACTTACTAAATACGCGCCCTGGTAAACTGAAAGAATAGTAGATGTTTATGTGACTTATCCTCATAAACCTAAACTTCTGTTCACTTTAGGAAAACTTGCATAACAAAACGGGTCGGGTAGCAGCTATTCTAAGGTCCCACATGAATGGCTGGATACCCCTTGAGAGGACAATAGGACAAAGAACAGAAACAATGCCCTTAGCACCAAAACAATAACAGCTGCTAACAAGCAAAAGAAAGAGCTGCTAGCTACACTTCTGTAAAAAACAATTCCTCATATTTTCCCTCCGAAACGAATGGTGCTTCATTCAAAGTTAAATCGTTGGGGAACATAAACGTTGAAGACGTCTACTTTAATACACCCTCAAAAAAACTAATCGAATGATAGCAGTCATTAAAGTTTTCGGACCATAAATTGCAGCCAATTTTAGGTAAAGCAGGTATGACAAGGTACACGAGGGCTGTTATTTTGACTTCGTCTTGGGAAAGTTATGCACAAAATTGTCGCTAAAATGTCTACAATTATCGTTACTTTAAGAGCTGAATACCTCCTCCTGTGTTCCACGAGGATCCATTCGAACCACTTGATTTCCAGCGACACAACCCATTAATAAAACTGCACTCACTCAGAACAGCGGCTAAAAGTTAACATTCACACGCTGGTAAAAGACAACTTTCTTATTTTTGTTTTGTTGCCACATTTGTTTTAAATAGTCCTTGTTAGTGAAATCACAGCTACATTCAAATTTTCCAGACTGAATGAAAATAGGAAACCGAACACCTAACACCGAAGTTGAGCTTGATCATGCGAATATCAAGACCGAGATTTGAGTTATCTGTTGAAGACGGTATGGTGTGACGATTGTTTGATGCTTTAATTTCAGATCATTGTTACGGTAAATAAATCGCTTCTTACCCACCTGTAATAAAAACGTGACCTAGTTCAAGGTATTTTATGTCTTTTTCATCGACAAACGAGTAAAGGACCTACAAGAGAAGGTTAACAATGGGTAGCGTTAATATACAATTCCAGGTAGATGACAATTTTCCTGTATGCATTGTAATGAGTCTGGACTTGATTTATTGTCTCAAAATAGTTTTTCAACGGCTTAACTGAATTGGCATATATTCAGTTATTGTCTGCTGGTATTTCTTTTTAAAGGACCACCAAAAAATTTCACGACATCTGATGTTCACATTTATTCAAGTTATAAGATTCAAATATTGACATCCAGCGAAAGAAAACAGGAAATCTTACTTTTGTACTGGGTGTGAAAGAACTTAGTGGTGAAAAGACAGTATCGTATCGGGGTGAATTAAACTCACCTGTATACGGTAGTCTCCTGGTTCCACATCTGCTTCTAGTGAAATCTTGAATAAACGTTCACCGCAATTCATCGGCTCAGAAGAATTGATCACATATTCGTTGCCGAAGATCGTCATAGAGATTCGTAGATCGCAATCAGGACAGAAAATCCCTTGGCAGCAATACCGGTACGAACCTGTTGTTAACAGAAACGAAAGTAACATGTAATCACTTCCTTTAACTTTCATGGTATTTGATTTGGGCAAACTATAGATCTTTACAGAGCCATGATTGCTTCAGAAAAATCTTTAAGTTTGTCGGCTACAGGGTGGAGTGGGAAAAGATAGAATGTAGATGTAAAGGTACAAGGAAGGTTAAGGAGATGGAACTAGACGGGGAAAACCAGTAGAACTGACAACCTGAATACCACTAGAAAAGGCTTACCGCGGAACCAATAAAATGTAAATATATAAATACCTTGAGTGAGGAAGACAATAACCATTAAAAACAAAAATATCAGGGTCAGGCTGTTAGTTAGTCAGTTGGTCAGTCAGTCGATCGGTCGGTCGGTCGGTCATCTAGTCTGTCAGTTGCGTCGTTTATTTGTTCCCTACTTCATTTGTTAGGTGGTTGGCTTGGGAAGCAGAAAGGAAGGTAGGTAGGTAGGTAGGTAGGTAGGTAGGTAGGTAGGTAGGTAGGTAGGTAGGTAGGTAGGTAGGTAGGTAGGTAGGTAGGTCGGTAGGTAGGTAGGTAGGTAGGTGGGTGGGTAGGTAGGTAGGTAGGTAGATAAATAATTGACACCCTTTTCAAAATAGCTGGAACCCGACAAACTGTTTACATTAAGTCGTTTACTTCTCGTTTACTCTGCAATAAGAGTTTACTTCTTTGAATGGCGGATGATTTCACTGTTTCAATATTTTAAAGGCACATGTTTTTTTTTTTTTTTCATTTTGGACCTACAAGTTAAAATTTGAATTTCTCTATAGATATTGAAGTAGGTCAAGTCGTTAGAATATATCGCGGTTGTACTGTAAAGCATCAATCGGTACTGCAAACCTGCGATTGATATCACGGATCCAACTTCTGCTGTGAACTCCTCACCAGGTTCAAATCGAATGTTGCTAAAATTGAGGTGCCGCTCGCCTAATAAAGAATATAAAACATCATTTATTAACATTATTCATTTATCAATTTAAAAGTCTAATTCCAGCATTGAACTTCCCAAATTCTGCATATTTCCAGACTAGGATTATTGGTGTTCTCCCATTTTACGAAAGAAATCGATCGCAAATATGATTTCTCCTCCCTCCTCCCCCCCCCCTCCCTTACCCCACTTTCTGTCAGAGAGTACCCTCAAATTCAGATTCAAGCGGAATTAGTTGACCACATTTTGCGATTTGCGGTGTCAATTAGTTGTTGTCAATTAGGCAGCTGCAGTGGACATTTCGACGTAAACATTATTTCAGTGTGATTATTCAAAATACAAAATTCATGTATCCCTTGATTATTTACAACACGCTCAATATATCAATATTCTAACATGGCTCCCAGACTGCGACTTGTCTTTGTCTCTCTACTCGCAAAAGATAATTGGATACGAAGAAAACGCCACCAAAGATTGAAGTTTTTCCTGAAAACCTCGGAGTCATCTTAGAATATTGATATATCGAGGTGTGGCCTATTTCCAACCTGGTTTCAACCAGAATAAATTTGCAGCATCCATTGGCTTTTGTTCGTGCCCATTTGGGAACTTGATTCCAACGGATAGGTGATCATCAAGTTTTTGTTCTGTCATAAAGACCTCAATTTTATAAAGACGACATCGAGAGAGGAATATTGGCTTTGAAGTTTGTTTGCTCGGAGACCTGTTCGGAAAAAAAAAAAAACAAATCAAGATACTATTTAAAGGAAAATTTTGAAAAGCGATCGCATGCTTGCTACGTACCTGTCTTCTTGATAACACGCTGATAAATTAAGGGAAATGAGAAGAACGACACTTGAGCGTGTAAAGAAGATCATTTGGCCAATTTGCTATAAGGCCAAAGTGATCGTTCCATATTAAAACAACAATGCTATTGCTGGTTTTCACGGTCATCAAAAGCAAAAATCGTAACCATTTACTAATTAGAGTCAAGAATCTTGGATATGACACAGGACTGATATATAAACAACGTTGCCAAGGTTTAGGCAGGTCACTGCGGTTTTTCATTCGCGCGTTATTCGGAGTAATGTTTCACCCAAATTGACAGAGCTTTTTAAGGAGACGACGTGTTGGTTTTCCTGGGAGGGTCAACAACGTGGTGGCCGTAACGTGATAGAAACATTTGTCATTGAATTTTGCTCACTATTACAATTAAATTAGAACGCAAATTTATTACTGGAGCTGCGACACATTGAAACTAATACCTCGGGCTTCGTGAGCCTTCTCGGGCCGCCATTTTCAAAAATGGCGTCGTCCCGAGAAAAAATGTCACACCGCGCAATAGCTTGGAAATTCAAACGTGCTCTATTACAAAGCGAAGAACCCGGTCGTTCTTAGCTGATTAGATGGACTTATATCTTATTAAACTAAAACCTGAGAAGGAAAGGTAACGTTTTTCATGATGGAATATAACAACGACGTTCGTCACAAGCACGTTACAGAGGATAAGTACAATACAACGTTCAGTTTACCTTTCCCACTCCAGTCGCGCCAATTTCAGCTTGTCTCTTAGCGTTATTAACATTTTATTCTCAGGCTCGTTGCCTCTGGAATCTTGAAGATCACCAATGTCCTGAATCCATAACTCGCATTCTTCATCACAGGTCATATAGAATGTGTGATAGCCACTATTAATGACCTTGAGAGAAAATGTACAAGATCTTGTAATTTAAACAAAAACATTCACGTAACGCTTAAACGAATTTTGAGTTCCATAGCATCTTAAGGACGTTCGCGCCCAAAATGTTCCCACGCACATATTTTTTTTAAAAACTTGCCATGCAGTAAGTTAAAGATAAACTTTCGCCAAAAAGGCAAAACTGGGGGACCACCGCGCTCTTTTTCGCGATAAGACGCATTGAAGACCAGGGGTTTTTAGAAATTAACTGTAGGTGAAGTTAACGCAACCGGTGCGGCAAGCCTTACTCTTGCCTATATTTCTTCCCTAGCGCGCACGCTTGATGTATGACGTGGCGTTACTTTGCAACATGAATTACGTGCGCAGTACGGATGCGCGGAAGCAACTGGCGCATACGTTTCTAATGTAAAAAAGGCGGATAATTTGCCTTATCAAATCCACAGGGCCCCTCTGGATACCAGCCACTGTGCTGAATGGGCCACCCTGCATAAATAAAGTTTTACCTACCCGGCTACATGTGCTGGTATTAAATCAACAAAATGACTAAATCCTGAATTTCTTCACAATTCACCAACACATTTCAGTTATACCACATTTCCACAGCAATAGTCACATCAACTTTGAATTAAATCTTAAGTCTGCTGACGAAAATTTCATGTTGCTGAGTTAAACGACGCGGTGGAGGCGCGGTTGCCTCATGGTTAGTGCGCTCGTCCCCGGATCGAGCAATCCGGGTTCGAGCCCTGGCCGGGGACACTGTGTTGCGTTCTTAGGCAAGACACCTAACTCTCACAGTGCCTCTCTCCACCCAGGAGTATA